GATATTTTGAATCTGCAGTCAGTGTACTCTGGCAAATGATACAAGTAAATGTAGTTATAATACTAGGAACTACAAAAGCCAAACAACATAACTTAGATAATGGGAATCTTTCAGGGTTTATAGTCCTTCAGTTCTGCTCCATGAGTTCCAGTCTTCTCATTGAACTTGATCTTTATCCCAAGTACAAACATGACCTGGGAGAATGTTGACCAGGTTTGTCTTTGGAAGCTATCCACAACACTGCTAGAATATGTCACCTTTGTGCCACTTGAATTAGAATAATTATGACTACATTTCATCTATTAATTTGTCCTATTTAGACTGGCTGTCAGTGTCAGAAAGAGTATATTTCATATCTCTTTTATCGTGAAATTAAAGACTTTATAGTTTCATGCCAGAAAAAGTTTGTCTTCATTATGAACTGATTTTTTTTTTCAGATTTAAACTATCATTTACTATTTTGCCTTGGCTGCCAGAAATTTGAGAGCTTTCTTGTCGTGATTGTGTATCCAAAGTTTTCATATCTTCCTCCTCTACCTCTCCGACTCTGTCTTCTCAGTGTTCTGTTCGTGTTTTAGCAATTCTATCTTGTTATTTTTTTAAATTTCAGATATTCTTAATTCCTTTTTGAAAGTTAGTGGTAGATTAAGTTCAATAAATTTCACAAACCCTTACTGGGTACCTACTTCTTGCTGTTAAGTTAACTCTGTTATACTAGCAATAGTGAAAAAGTCAGGTTGTGTCTTCAAGCAGCTGGGAAAAATAACTTTCAGAAACTTCTGCAAAATGCTTTGTTCAGATAGGAACAGCAGATATGAATTTGGCCAGGCATAGCCAGTACTCATGTTTATTCCTTCTTTGCTAGCCAAAAGTCATCATTAGGCTAGACTGCCATTCCCAGAGCCTACATGCTTTTTAGAGCTATTTTGTTTTACTCAGATATAAACTTCAGGGCTGGAAGCTGTGTCTCACATTATCTCCGAGACGGGGATGGCACGTACAGTCTGGCTGTTTCGGTTCTTAGACATCTGCAGAGACTTGTGAAGCTGGTCTTCTGTGAGAACACACTGCCCTCAGGCCTTTCATCTCCACTCGGGGGGGGGGGGGGGTGATACGTGGGAGATAACCAGAGGTTGCCCCGGGGAATCTTTGAAGAAGATGATAGTTTGTCTGATAGATGATATAAAATGATGTTGAAAAGAGAAGGCATCCCTACTTTGAGTCTAAAAAGAAAAGAAAGCCTTCTTCAGTTGTTCATCGTGTTCTTTGGTGAAGAAAACACTCTCATGTCTCATGCAGTCCTAAACTGCTACATAAAGGCTTGCAAGATGCTAAACACAGTGGTCGCCCATTACGTAAATGGTTAGCCAACAGCTTCACTTAGAACGCTTTGGAAATCACACATTTTAAAATGTAAATTAAATGCGTCTTTTCACCACTCCATGACCTGACTTTTAAAGACAAGGCTCATGAATTATTCTGACCTAGATATGTCACGCCCTGCCCTTGAAAGAGCCCCATGAAAGAGATTTATTGTCTGAATTTTTCTGGAACTGATTAGCCTTTAAGTGAATATCCTTGTGTTCATTCCTCACCTTCTCATTCTACCTGTTGGCCTTTTGCCGATTTTATTGCTTATCAGCACCTTTATGTGGTATAATAACCCACCCACCCCCAAGAACAACATGTCGCATGTCGCCAACAACCTGGGAGTATGTTACATTACATGGCAAAGGGAAATTAAGGTCGCGGATTGAATTAAATCTAACTAATCAATTTACCTTAAAATAAGGAGATTATCCTGGTTATCTGGGTTGGCCTGATGCAATCACAAAGGTCCTTAAATGCAGAGGAAGCAGACAAGGACATTAGTGTGAAGGGACCAGAGAGGGGCTTGGACCCATCTTTGCTTTGAAGACTGAGGAAGGGGCTCCCCCGAGTCCAGGGCATGTGGGAGACTTAGAAGCCGAGAAAAGCAAAGAAACCTATTTCCTCTCGAGCCTCCAGAAAGAAAGGCCCAGCTAACACCTTTGATTTTTTTGACGACCCAGTGAAACCTGTGTCTGATTCTGACCTATAGCCCTGTTAGAAAATAAATTTATGTTGCTGTAAGGCACTCAGCTTGTGGTCATCTGTTATGGCAGGAATAAAAACTAATCATTTACCGATGTTTGAGAAAGGAAACTCCATCCAGAAAAAGACTGAGTGTGGGTGGGAATTTCAGCGCCTGCTGACAGGGAGATGTTAGAGCATCATCGAATTCCAGCCCCTGCTCTCACTGTTTCCCATTAAGCCAGAAAACCTACAGGGGCCTGTTGCCAGTGTAATGACCTGAAATATGCTTCGAAACAGCATACTCTTGTTTAAGTCTGCGTCCCATCTGCCTACTCGGCTACCACTAGGGTGATCCTTTCATAGAACAAACTTAAGCATGTTATTTCTCTTTAATGTCCACTTCACGGTCTTCCATTGCCTGCGGAATAAAACCCAGACATGGAGGTTGGCACTCAAGGCCCGTCTACAGAAAGGCTTCGGCTGCAGCCTCATAGCATCCTTCTCTTTCCTACGTACCTTGCTGTGTTCAGCCAAGGTAACGCGCTTCTGTTCTGTGAGCCCAGTGTAGTGTTGTGTACTTTTCTCCTTCGTATGTGGCATTTCCTTTACCACCAGTGGCCTCCCAGACCCTCATACCTGTTGGCAAACCCCTATGAATTCTTCAAGACTCAACTCAAACATTTAATTCCTTGGAAAAAAATCAAAGAACTTTGCACAGCAGATAAAATTCTTTGGCCTGCCCTTCATGCCACATTGTGATTTGCATACCTTACTGTTTTAAAATTATTTCTTTCCATTTCATCCTCTTATACTAAATGGTGAGCTTTCTGAAGGCAATAACTGGGTCTGATAACATCCTTGTGGAATCCTACTGACTCACATCGCTTATGTAGTAGGTACTCATGCAGAAATATTGAGTGTACAATGATTATGTACCTGATCTGCCCAACGTACTGCACAGCTGCCATTAGAATGCAGGGTTTTGATTCCCAGGCCACTCTTTGGTTATATTCTGCCTCTATAACTTAAACGTCATGAAGGAAATTCCTCTGTATACCTGAGAAACATTTTCATTAAAATATTTTCATGATTTTATTGTGCCAGAAATGAAAACATCAGAATACAGTTGTCCCTCGGTATCCACGGGAGACTGGTTCCAGGACCCCTCGCGGGTACCCAAACCAGCGGATGCTCAAGTCACTTATGCAAGGTGGCAAAGCACAGTCAGCCCTCCGTGTCTGTGGGTCCTGCATCCGCAAATACAGAGGGAGGGCTGTCTGTAATTTCTGCTTTGTTTAGTTTTTTATGACTCTATTTGAAAGAGTTATTTTGTGCAATACATCTTTTTATTCTTAAAACCTTGAGAAGATTCTGAAATGTAATAGAATAGCACAGCAAGGATCAAATTCTTTTGGCTTTAAATATTTGAATTTTCTCTCAGCATTTCTACTTTCTGCCTTTATTGTCACTTTCTCAGTGGTTACATACAGGTTTGACCTTACTGCACAGGTCTTTATGATAATGAGTTAAGGTGTACACAAGCACTTGGAAACTGTCGATCACTATTCATATGGACTGAATTGTTTTCATAATTTTAATAATCAGTTTATACAGTCACTGCAGAATGTTTACAATGGCCGTGATGATGGGAGAGCTTCCACTGGGAGTTTCTCTTTTGACAACAGCTGTCAGAATTCAGAATCTTAAAGTGGTTGGCATAACTGTTAGTGTGATCAGTAAAATACATCTTTCAAGCTGCATAGTCATTTATGTTTGGTTTACTGTTTTAAAAAGGGAAAACACTTTTTATTAAGATGAATGAGTCCATGTTGATGTTAATATTTTGCATAAGAGCATCATCAATTTCAAAAATAGTAGACAGAGGCCATTGATGAATCAGTGAGACTTAGATGTATTTAAAAGAGATTTTATTTTTGAAATATGTTGAAGAAGTTGATAAGTATTCAGATGCTGTAGATTGTAACTATGGACATATCCAGCTTGATTGAACACATTGCTAAGATGCCTGCTGTCGGATTTGGGTGAAGCTCACTTGTTTTAAAATGGCTAAGAATGCTCGGCAAAGCCATGGTCCAGAATGTGTCTTCAGGATTTGAATTCTGTCACATTGCATAGGTCATTTACCAGGAGTATTTCACTTCCTTTGTTTTAAGGGCCACTTTAATCTTCTGATACATCTACTGATATTTCACTAGGAAAGAAGCGTCCTGTGAGAAACCTGTCATCCTTAAATGTAGCAGACATATTTCCCATTGTGCATCAACAAGTCGGCATTATGGTTTTTCTGAGCCAGTCTCCAGTATATTAATTTAGAACCAAATGAATCTATAGAACCTAATCATGCAGGTTGTGCTGGAGACTTTTACCAAGGAGCACACCTTTCTAGGAACCACAAAGCCACCCTTTTGTACATCATATCAGTTTCTCATCGTCTTACAGTTTGCCAGATAAATTAACATACTTACTCCTTGTGTCTTTGAAGAAATTCTCTACTTGTACCAGATTTTTTCCATTGTATCACATTGTCCAAAAATATTCAGCAAGTCTCTTTATTCTATTAAGTACCTAAAGTCACAGTGTATGATGACTCTAATTCATTCCGTGGGCTTGGAGTTTATCCTTCATAGTTTTAGTGAAACACCAGCTGTCACTGTTCCTAAGTGTGTTAACTTACAGCCTTCAGCCCTTTATTCACTTGCTTGAGTATCTTTTCTTAACCATATAAAGCTCAAAATGAATTTATCTGAACACAGTCTCTTATATGTGTGATCCCCTAAATCGTTTGCATGAAGTCTCCTGTTAACTTGATGTTATTACTACAGTGATTCATGGTCTTTTTTTACTTCGGGTAGGTATTTTTCTATATGGACAACTATTTCCTTGTATAACTTACAGCAACAATTGTTTTATTCTTCCCCCCTCAGGTACTACAGTGCAACCATTCTGCAGATGTCTGGTGTTGAAGATGACAGACTTGCAATATGGCTGGCTTCGGTTACAGCCTTCACGAATTTCCTTTTCACACTCGTGGGTGTGTGGCTTGTTGAGAAAGTGGGCCGCAGAAAGCTTACCTTTGGTAGTTTAGCAGGTAGGTGTCTGGGTAAAGAATTCAGTTATAAACTTTTCTCTGATGATGACTGGTCAACCTTTCAAAATATAATTCCAATACCACTTTTGATACAGTTTTCTTAGCCAAATAATACATAGAGTTCCTCTTTAAAAAGTTTTTTTTAAAGTTTCTTTTTTTTAAAGAACTTATGATATGTAACTAGAAATTAGAATTCTAACAACAATCTGAATTTACTGAGGGCAGCATTTTGCTGTTACTGAGTTTTGCTCAAAGGTACAAAAGTGAAAAAGAAAATTTGGTATTCATAAACACTTTTTAACAGAAGTTTTAAGTTTGGAATAATGTGGAAGTAAATTTGGAGCAATTTTTCAAAGCTTTTTGAACAGCAGAATATTAAAATCATCTAATTTCTTCACAAAGCAAGGACAAACTCGTTTTGTGTTTGAACTAGGCCTAAACTGTAGAGTAAATTCTGACTGGCTAAATATGTTTTCTGTGCTAACTATGACAAAACCCTTTCTACTTTCAAGCGTCTTTTGTCTTTAAACTCTGCCCATTTCATTTATTATTTCTCTGTAAGCAAGGGCTGTTTCAAATGAGACCCATCTCTGCCATTGTCTTCACATGATCACATCATGTAATTATCTAGTCTTTTGCAAACAGACAGGCAGATTCCCACTTATCAATTAGCTGTCCTCTAATAGCTTCTTTGTAAGTTTATTTAGAGTTAGAATATATTTTTTCCATTAAAATGTGCAGTTTCCAGGCCAGCATTAACTAAATTCTATTTTAACCAGATTATACCTAAAACATTTGATCTCACAGAACTGCTTCAAGGCACGTGTCCCAGATTTTGTTGAGAAGGTAGTTCGGCGTTTCATACTCAGTTATTAAGAACACATACCCTCTCCCGCCCTGAACTCCAGAAGGAAGAGCGGGCTGCTCCCACCGTTCTGTCCTAAGCAGTGGAAAGCCCGTGAGTTCAGTAATGTGAGTTAAATCGCAGTATCAGCCCTGAGGGGAAGGCGAGCAAAGAGTGTCTGATTAAAAGCCAAAGGTAACCGTGACAGCCAAGGTGTAAAGAGGAGCGAGAGGGTAAGCGAGGACAGGTCAAGGACAGGTGAGGGTTACAAACCGCACATTTATAAACCTGTTCAAGGAACTAGAAGTGCTTAGCCTGGAGGGGGAAGAAAGGTAAAGAGACACCTCATAGATATCTCATTCTAGCAGATGGTAGAGGGTATAAATTTTTACTTCATATAAAAAAGCTGTTCCTAGTAATTAGCATGATCCAACACTGAGTTAAGCTGCCTCATTAGAATAGTAAACTCTTAAAAGGACAGGTGACCATCAGGCAGCAATGTACTAAAAACAAATTCCCACAGTGGGTTGCAGGTTGGATTTTCTGACTTACTGAGGTTCAGGTCAGCTCTAAGAAGAGGTAATAGCTGCTTCAAAATTTCTTAAATGGACACTTTTTCTTTTCGACAGGGCCTTAGTGTACTGCTATGTCAAGAGGTCTAGTTTTTAAATAGAACTTCAGGTCTTAAATTTGGAACTTGGCTTTTGAGATCTGGAGGAAAAAAATGCTGATTTTGCGATCAGGGGAAAACTTTTTCTAGCAGCTTCTGCCCCTTCATTTGTTGTGTTCCCTGATTTTGAGGCATTATAAATATGAAGCCAGACCACTTGGGTCTGAACTGTGACACTGAACAAAGTTCCATTTTCTTATCTGTAAATAGGGATTAATTATAGTCTCTACTTCCCAGAGTTCTAATGAGGACTGGGGACGTTTATCCATGTGTAACATTTCAAACACTGCCTGTCACAGGCAGTGAAAGGCCCAAAGCATTTTGCTATCACAGTGCTGTTACTGTCAAAAAGTGATTCTTGGTTGTTTTAACCACAGTGGAAAGTCAACTTGCATCAGAATTCAGAGCCTTTCCTGAACTCTTCTTGTTGATGCCACATTTCACTCCTTGTAGGCCCTCTGCCCCAAGGACTTTCAGAGCCCATCCCTGACTGTTAAGAGGAAGTATTAAGGCTTGTGGAGGAGGACCGGGACATTCCAGGGACTGCTCTTATGAGCAACCCGGAGACACTTTTCTTTCCTGCAGAATCAAGAGGTTGTCATTAAATCTGAAATATTTACAAGAAAGACCAGTTCTCTAAGCAAGCTCTGAAAATATTAAAAGTCAGAACACCACAAAATGTCCCACATTTGAAATTATTCATGGAATATGTGTTTTATATTTCTTTGTATAAAGAGTTTCTTTGTCCAGGTCTAGCTAAATATAGTTTATTTGTAGCAATTTTTTTAAATGAGCACCCAAAATTTTTTTTTAAAGAATGAGCACCTATTCAAAAAATTATTTTAATGATTTTTTTCATTATTTTTCATCTAATATAAAATAAATCATAATATATTTGATAACCTTACTAGTGCTAAATGTTAGAACACTGGTCTTTTTAAAATTTCTTAAATTAGCCTAGAATTTTTTAAACTTTGATTCAGTTTTATTCCCTATTTTGTGTTTTTATTATGATTTATTTTATTATATTGGTTGAAAAAACTTATATCAAGATAATTTTTCAAATAGGTGCTCATTCTTTAAAAATTACTATAAATAGATTCTATTTAGCTAGACCTGAACAAAGAAACTCTTTATACAAAGAAATATATATATAGTCCATGAATAATTTTAAATGTAGGACATTTTGTGGTGTTCTGACTTTTAGTATTTTCAAAGCTTGCTAAGAGAACTGATCGTTCTTGTAAGTATTACAAATTTAATGACAACCTCTTGATTCTTTTAATAGAGGAAGGTTTATATCTATGTAGCTTTATTGCTTATAAATCAGAAAGCCAGAAACACTGTTATTTTCTGCCAGATATTTTGGTAATGGAATATTTCTAAAAACATCACTCACAGACCGTCTTCATCAGAATTACCAGGGGTACTTATTTTAAATTGTGAGTTCTTGGGCCCTACCCCAGATCTACTAAATTAGAATCTCTGAAGATGAGGTCTGAGCACGTGCACTTTAAACAGTTTCCCCAAGTGATACTTAAGCGCAAGAAGTGTGCTCTGTTAGCGGGAGTGGAAGTTATTTTTTTCTGAGTATTTACTAATAATCCAAGCCTTGTACCAGGCAGCTAAGGTAACTTATTACATCAGATATTTTTGAGAAATGCTGTTTATCCAACACATTTTATCTCCTCTGGAGAACATTTTTATTAGGAAAATGATATCAGAATTCCAAAATGTAATAGTATACTTGGTTAAAAGGGACTCTTCTCTTAAAATATAAAGAATGGGCCCAACTGCCCAGTACAGTGGAGAAGAGCCTTTCATCCAAGGCCATCCTGTATTAGCCTCAAATCTAGGTTGCAGTGATGAATAACTGACAATAACTATAGCATCTCTGAATACTAACAAGAGACTAATAAAGCATCTGTAATTTGTTAAATGAAAGGAGGTATTTGAAGTAGTTTTAAGCCTTAAAGATATATGAGTATAAGAAAGGACTAGGTGATCATTTTAAAATTTATTCCATAAATAAAGTCATTTAAATTTACCACTTCTTGGGGGGTGGGTATAGCTCAGTGGTAGAGCACATGCTTAGTATGCATGAGGTCCTGGGTTCAATTCCCAGTACCTCCATTTTTAAAAAAAAAAAAAATTTTTTTAACTTAAAAAAAAAAGAAGATACCACTTCTTTCCCTTAAGGAGTTTACCGTCTCATAAGGGTTTCCCCTGTCTGGGCATCACAGTCACCTGTGGAGTTGTATTATCTGATCCCCGTTTACTGGAGGCTGAGGTAAGTTCCAAACATTTGCTATTCCAATAGGAAGTGAGGATCAAGAAACACTGCCATATGGAGTAAAGGAAGTGGAGGTATAACACTGACTTCCAAAAGATTTCCATCCACAATGGATGGAAATAAAGAAGAGTAAACCTTCAACTATGTAGGGATTGTGTGTATCCAAAATGGCCTGTTCCCCGAATTTTGCAGGTTAGTTGGACTCTTTAGAGATGGATGGAAGAGATTCGCTGTCCACACTGAAGAACTCTAATCTAGTATATTTCTCCCATACTGACCCCATGACCCTAGTTGAGCATTCTTCAGAACAACAGCCAGTGTTACAGAGATCCGTGGGAACATGAGATCTGCTCTATGCCAGGCAGTAGAACTGACCATATGTGTTTAGGGAGACCGTCTTAGAGTATTGTTTATCGTGGAGACAAGTTACTTAAGTAGCGTTATGAAAGAAAAGTACCATCTTTCCTTAACATTCTAAAGTCTCACATCTTCCTGGTTGAAGGAAATCTTACCTGTCCTATGGCAACATGCTATGGAGGTAATTTGGGAAAATACTCACGAACCCAGCTTCTTTGATAGACAGATTAACAGTAAAACTCAGGTGGTTTGTTTTGCTTCTTTTGAGGAAAGGGGGATGATTTTAATTAATGGACCTAATGTATTTTCTCTCCTTCTAAGAGAGAGATTTCTTTTTTGTTTCCCAATTCAAGTCTTTTGAGAAAAGTAATGCCTCAAACTATTTCTAGTTCTGGTTTGAATTTAAAGCCGACAAGGGGAAAATGAACTGTGATTTTAGATTCGTGGCTTTTTATCTCAGTGTCGTATCTTTTCTTCTGATCTTTTCTTCAATCCTCCCTTCCTTCATCTTTTTTTCCACAGTTTTTGAAAGTATGCTGTTGCTGCTTCTAAGGATAATTATAGTCCAATAGCTAACATTTTTAGCATGATGAAGTCTTTCAAGTATGTTATGATATTTAAAATTCACTGCGATTCTGCAAAGTCAGCATATTCTCTAAGGCCCATTTACAGCAGACAAGACTGAATTGCTGGCAGGTCGTGTGCTTTGCCTAAGATCACTGAGTCAAGAAACAGCAGAGCTAGGACTTAACCACAGTGCTTAACTTGACATCCCCTATATCTTAACCACAAACACCTCAACTATTATATAATCCCGTTGCACGTCCACAGAGCTTCCCAAAGCTGCTGTCCCTTTACCCATTTTAAAAATAATATTTTTGATAAATTACTTTCCAGTTTACTGCTACATAACTTTACTGCTACATAAATGACCTCCTTAAACCCTGTATTTCAAGCATACTGCCTCATTCAAGTTAATTGTACAAATAAATGCAGCGATATTTTTTTCTACTTTCTTCCCATTACCCTCTTTGTTTATCTTCACAATGGCTGAAACAATAGTCAGAAATTTGGCGTATTTCCTGTTTCAGTATTTCATATTCAATATCGTAAAATCAAAGACAAATATCCCGCTTCCAAGTGCCAACAGGAAAAACAAATGAATACATGTGTTATATCGTTTCTGGCATCTTAAAGTCTTCAACAAATGCGACTCCTCTTTCATAGAAAATGCTTTTTCAACGGGTTTTGAAATATTCAGTCTGTTCCTTTTTTTAGTTTACTTATTTGGGTCTTAGATAATCAAAGACCATTAGAACAATTTTCTTTATAATGAAAGGAACACTTGGTGTAAATCTGTTGCCTTTTGGACTTCCTGACGTGTTAGGTATTCAATAGTGTCGGTTACATTAATTGACTTCGAGACAGTCAGCCATCCAAGATAGTTTTTGTTTAAAAAATTATTACCAATATGTTTGGCTAGCAAATGTGTTTGATTTATTAGATTTGAATTTCACTCTTGACATGTCTCACAGTGAATGCACTAATGAATTTTTGTGACAATGTGTGTATGTATGAATGGATAGATAGATAGATAGATAGCATTTTTTAAATCAGTGTAGATAGATCAAAGTATTTTTTCAAACATATGTCTTGCCAAACCCAGTTTGCTTTGGAAGAATGTTGTCAACTCTGCTCTGATGTGAAACTTTTTTTTTTTTTAAGGTACCACCATAGCACTCATTATTCTTGCTTTGGGATTTCTGCTATCAGCCCAGGTTTCTCCACCCATCACTTTAAAGCCAGTAGCTCCTCCAGGTCAGAACACTACTTGCACAAGATACAGGTGAGATTTCATAATGGTCCCCTTCCTTAACCTAACTCTGGTAACGTCTTTGTTTGCTTATAACTTTCCTAAAACAGCAGAGATGAGTAGAAAGATTTCTAGGTGTCCAGATGGATGGTGGAAGGGAAGAAAATGGGAGAGGTGTCAAGGAGGGACTGCCAGGAAGAGAAATAGCATATACAAACCACACCATATGCAAAGACATGCTTAAGGAAAAGTGAATGCTTAGACACAATTTTGGTGTCATGTCTCTGGAAATTGAAGGGATAGATGAATACAGAAGCTAAGCAGGCACACTGTAAAACTATCTTAGATCACATATGACTTAGTGACATCGACATTCTAGGTGAAATAATGAACTTCAATCGGTCATTGAACTTTTCCATTCTTACCTGACTGATGCAGTTGATTATCATCTGGGTGTTCTAACAGGTAACCTTCACTGTGGTCCACAGGCACCCCTGCATTCATTTAGACAGAAAAGAAAGTTTGCTCTCACTGCCAGTGTTCTTTCAGAGTATTCAAAATTGGAAAGAGGTGATACAAAAGAGTGTTTTAACGGCCAGCTGCAGGTTTAAGAACTCGTGAAATTTAACAGTGTACGCCCTATGTGACAGCCAGGGAGATGGAGACATGGAAGCTTGGAAAATGGGCTGACAGGTGGGCTGAAGAATGCACAAATGAATTAAAGGTTAAATGACTGAACAGATCGATTAATACAGAGTTTCAGAATTTTTTTTTTACTTCATTTTAGTGACTGGAAAGGCTAGCAACTGCTTTAAAATGTGGATAGTACAGCTTAAAAAACAAAAAATGATATCCTTCAGCCTCAACTAAGCAGGCATTGTCTCAAATCAATGGGTAAGTGATTTGTTGAGTCAGGTACTCCTGTGTGAAATTAAAACACTGCATCGATACACTAAATTCCAGTCGGAATCCCTTGGAGCTTCTTATTGAACAGAATTTGTGGTGCCTTCTCATTACAACAGTGAGGAAGATATATTATTATGCTTTTCTGGTTGCAGATTGTGACATCCCCTTTGGAAATGAATAGCTCCTCCTTTCTTTTCTTAATATGTTTATATATTTATTGCTTTACTGTTTTTTAAAAAATATTCTTTATGTTGTAAAGAAGATTTAAAGTTATCTCAAAGGAAGTTAACCTTAGTGTAGACTATTTCTGGATGCAGTGATCTTTACTGTCTTTGGACATCCCATCTCAACTGCTGGAAAGATGATAAACTATTGCTAGAATTCTACATGCTCTACTTTTGTTTTTCTTGATGGATGTTTTTTGGGAGGGGGGAAGGTACTTAGGTTTCTCTATTTATTTATTTTAATGGAGGTACTAGGGATTGACCGTGTGCGTGCTAAGCATGGACTCTACCACTGAGCTGTACCCTACCCCACCTTGATGGATATTTTAAGTAAAATTTCTAACACAGTTATATCTAACAAATTATTTTAAAAATGACTGTTGTTTGAGCAACATGGAATACTGTCTAGATCTGATATCTAATTTAGATGCAACGATGTAGATTCAGAATAAGACTGATACACTGTCAGGTCAACTAATGGCAGAGGGAGAAAGTCAGCCAGAGAATATGAAAAAAAAGTTTAGGAATTCTGATGCAAGAAAGGAATGGCTAAGTTTTAAGCAATTTACTTAATGAAATAGCTTTTCTGATGTCGACTTTTAAAGTTTAAATTAAAATACTTATTGCCATGGTATAGCTCGTTGCACAGTAATTTATGGTCATCAGTCTATTAATCTCCCTGATCCTTCTAAGTTATCATCTAGGTAGCTAGATAATAGGTAGGTGTCTAATATTTCAACATAAAATTGTAGTGAAGTAGGAGAAGTGGTACAACCTAATTTTATTCTTATCACAAAAACGGGCAGCAATTTTTGAAAACAGAGCCAGATGTCCTCTGAGAGTCGGTGAGTATGCAAAACAATTATTGATTGTCACTCCTTTCAGAATAACGTATGAGGCTTTGTGGGAATTTGACAGCATGTATTTATAGTCTGAGTGATTGTATACAGCGTGTCTGCAGTCCCCTTTATTGATTGTGGTGTTGTTGTTGAAACTTCCTATATAATTTCCCCTTCCTTTGAGATAAATATGAAACATACAATATAGACCATGTATGAAAGTTGTTGAGAGTAAATCCTCAGAATTCTTATCACAAGAAAAAGATTTTTTTAAATGTCTTTCATCTGTATCTATAGGAGATGATGGCTGTTTAGTAAACTTTCTGTAATAATCATTTCATGACCTGTGTAAGTCACATCATTAGGCTGTCCACCTTAAGCTTGTGCAGTGTTCTATGTCAATTACATCTCAATAAAAAAGGAAAAAAATAATTTTTTAAAGATAAACATGAAATAGTCATGTTTGTATTGCCTTAGGAGGAGTAATACGCATGCTGTAGAAACAGGTGGCATGCTTTCCTCACGGAATGATTCAGATAGGAAAATTAAGGAAATAAAACATTTAAAGGGCGAGTTGGTTTAATATCTGTCATAGGAGCACTGTCTGCTATTGGTCAGAATGTAAATTTTTCTCCATTTTGGAAATTAATATACTTTTGCCTAGTAAAATTTAAATGCCTAAGCCCCTTGACCCAGTATGTGCACCTGGGGAAACCTGTGGACTACAGTGATGAGCAGGTAGTGCATTCTGACTAGAGTAGATTTAAGAAAGTGAATGGTTCAAGAACAATGGCTCTTCCTTACTTAATTCAATAAATATTGATTGCGTAGCAGGCACCAGATAGGTTAGAACCCAAAAAATTGTGGGTTGGGGCTCCCTAATGACTTTGGACCCAAGAGACTGACTACCCCAAATAATTTCTAATAAGAGTGTACTCTCTTTACAACATTTTAGCTTTTTAATTGGTGATATTTTATTCCAAGGCCTAGTTAGATTTTGTGAACCAAACGCCTTAAAGAACATCTCTCAGATCTGCTTTCTTGCAGCAAAAACTGTGTGCAAAGATAAAAGTGAATGCAATTTACTATAGGAAATATGCAGCTACCTGAGTAAAACCTGTGACAGGTACCAGCTGAGGGTAGGAGAAATAACTATAGCGTGGGTACCATCTGAATCACATATTTGTATACGAATACACATACATCCCTCTAATATGTCCTTCAGCTCCACACTCTCAAATTACGGATTGAACATGTTGTCTTATGAGAGCTATCCAAGCTTTGAGGATTCAAACCTTTCCTGGGTAACATTTCCCTCAAATCTTTGGCACTTTATTATTTATAAGTATGATCGCAGTGTATTTAAGTCTCTGTTGTAAAACCCTTCAAAGTAGACAGGTATTTTGTAAAGTATACAGCTTAGAACTGCAAGATACTCTTGCCCTAAGGTTTTTATCACATCTCTATTTTTTCATACATGCATTCATTTTTTTTCCAATTCTATTCTTAGAATTTTTATTTTAAAATATACTATAGATTTAAAAGTTTGAAAAGTATGTATTCATAGTTTACATAATAAAAAATCAGCACCCAGATGAAGAAATAGAGAATTACCTTTAAAAGTTTATTTGTTTAACGTAACATCTATGTCATTGCTCTGATTTTTCCCACTCCGATTAGTATGCAAAGATTTTCAAAAACTGTGTCATTCAAAACTTCTCTAGCTGTCATTCATTCTTATTTCAGTGCTGTCATTTTCATTAGAGTCATGGTGTGCTAAAAACTCTTTAAGATCTCACTATAATCTTATTCTGTTTAAAAATATTTGTTAAGTAATTACATGCGTGCATTCATTTTAAAAAATATTTGGAGCACCTACTCATAGGATCATAGTGAGTGTGGATTAATATATGGAAAGCACCTAAATCAGTGCTCAGCACATTCAATAAATATTATAATTATATATTATGTTATAATTAATAAAACCTGTAATAGGAAATGAGATTGGGACGATGGATAGAAGTCTTCCTCATCTTTTGAAGAAGGCTACCCTAAGGCTAGAACATTTGAAATGAACTCTAAAAGAGGGCGAAGAACATTGCCAGGCAGAAGAAACAGCAGGTGCAAAGACCCTGCACAGCAGTAAGGAAGTTGACAAGTGCAAGGGATTAAAAGAAGGCTAATGCGGCTAGAAGAAACACACTTTGTTTGTTTTCCATGGTCAAGAAGTTCCTTACTGGGGATCCTGAAAGACGAAAGAGAAGTCTCTAGGTTTGCAAAGAGCGAGGAGAAAGAATTCCAAGAAGAGGGAACATTATGTGTAGAAGCCCTAAGCAAGGAGTATAGCTTCCTCAAGGAACTTACCAGTGAGGCTGCGTTATAGCAAGCAAGCAAGCAAGAGAATGACACAAAGGTAGAGTGGATGGCAGGCCAGGGACAGACCGTGCTGGGACCTCACAAACCGTGAGAATTTTACACATCATCATAGACTACTGAGAAGCCTTGAAAAGGTGATCAGATAAGAATGACGGAATCAGATTGGGTTTTTAAACGATCACTCTGGGTGCAGAATGAGAAGAGTTGGTTAGAGAAGGACAAAGGGTGGTGAAGGGAGATCAACTATAAGAAATCGGGAGCCTAGGCGAGGACTCGTGCAGCCTTGATGGTGGAAGGGGAGGGAGACGCAAGAGAGATTCTGGCGGGGAGTGACACGGCTGGGTGTTTGGATGGATGACACACAGGAACAAATGCTTTCCGCATGGTGAGGACCATACTCAGGTGAGAGGAATCCAGGGATCCGAAGCCTCCCTGGAGCCCACTTCTGGGAACACAATCTCAAGGATATAAATTGGAGGCCCTTTCCCTCGCTCTCCAGGTGAACACCGCAGCCATGCAAGAGCAGTACTTGGTGTTTGCTGTCAGGTATGCTCTGACGTGAAATGCCATCTTTACTCTCTCTTGAACTCAGAAGACTTTTGACAAAAGCTCTTCTGAACTTACGTCAGAAGTAACACAAAAAAAGTAAAGGGGAAAACGTGGATCTCTGATAGCTCGTAAGGACCTA